AAATTACACGATACGTTTCACACTCGTAACAGCTATTGCACACCTACCCTCTTATTAATCGTAAATTTTACTCACCACGGTATCTTATCGAGATAAACAGACGAACATTTAATAAACACGAGCGCAAAAATCATTTTGAACACACAGTGTACGTGGAACATTAGAATGTAACATAAAAATTACACACCTTAACAACGAAACGTACATTATTACCATTTGATAAAACAATGTACGACTTCAAACGGAAACTTAGTGATATCGCTGTTACTTTTTAGTGTGTGTAGGGTAATTCCGAGAGGGACGGACCAGGCAAGTATTTCCTACATTATCCGCCATATGTGGAACGCGTTAGTATTCTTTTATTTTACGGAAAGCGATCGAGCGTGGCTCTCAGTGTTTTTTCTTCCATATCTGGCGGATAATGTAGGAAATACTTGCCTGGTCTATCTTTCCCGAAATTACCCTGTACATATGTGTGTGTGTAAATTTACCAATAGGAATTAGAAATATTTGATTAATTATCAGGGTTTCGTCGTTCTGAAGGGAACAATATTAAGTAACCGCAGTTTCTTCGTATCGCCGTGATGAATAGAATTCGCTACGACAGAAAATTAACAAACTATCGTTTAAAATTAACGAATGCTTGGCGAATAATTCTTCGAACAGCTACTTAAATTAACTTAACACCGTACGAACGAAATTTCAAATGAAGTTGTACTAGGAATCGTTTGAACAGGTACACGCTGCGTACATAGCGACCAGAAGAAGCTCTTCGATAAGATTGCACTTGACTAGATCTCGCGAATATCTCACACACATATGACGGAATATTTTACAAATAACAACTGTACATGTACAATAATGTTAAATATACAACGACGTAACATGAAAATTCGCTTATGAAAAGTGTCACTTTTGTAAAAGTGAAAATTACTCGCGACAATGATTGGCAACGCTGAACGATGAGTGTGTCACATGTTCGTCAATCGCTGATATTACTCATTCGTCGATCGTCGATATTTCGTGAGACTTGCACTTGAAATATGAATAACAGCATATATTACAGTACGTGAATGATAAGGAAAAGAAGATTCCAATGCTTGTGCTTTCTTCTTTCGCAATTAATGAAATACAGAGTGATCCACCTAACGTGATCTCCAACGTGATCTCAAAGGATCTCCAACCTTACATTTTTTCTGTGTCCTCTTTTTTAAATAAATTTTCAAAGTGTCACGTACAAATTTTATATGTAAAAAAATGTACTATATAGGCAAAAAAAGACTGCGGGGTTGTACGTAAAAGAATTGAACCTGGCTTTGAGAATTTATTTTAAAAAGAGACAGAAAAAATCTGAGGTCAGCATCTTGAAGATTCTTTGAAGTGGTATTATCTGTGACGAAAAAATTTTTTGATCGATCGACTAATAAGGAAAATAATTGAGATGGTCACGTTAGATGGTTTACCCTGTGTATAATGGAAATCTTTACAAAATATGATTCAATTGTAGATCACCTGAATGATTCAGTTACTGATTTCGGTTGCCAAACACTAGTTTAAGTAAATTCGAAATTTATTCGTGCAGGTTCGAATTCTAATAAATTCCATAATGTAAACAGTTATACAAACAGTAAACAATGTCCACTTATATGCAAAATGTTTCCTTACGTTTTCTATATTTATCAATTCCACTCTCGACGAATAGTCTCAATACTTACGAGAAGCCATTTCACGGAATTCTGTGGTAAACGCTTTCGAGTCTGAGAATATTCTAAAAAAATTATTATTCTAGTCATTGTACATTGATTTTTTAATACTTATACGAGCAACTAGTGTCTATTAACAAGTAGAATTGTAAACATCACACCTTGAAAGACTTAATCTACGGATAATTTACAGATAATTCGTTCAATATTCTCTTTGGTTGCATCTATTGCTTAAATTGCGTAGAAATGTACGTGAAATTATTATTACACAGCATGTGGGCGATAAAAGTTCCAATTATTTCCAACGAGCAGAAATAATTCCTTAGAAAAAAGTTTATTCGAAGGTTTACTCGAAGAAGTTACATCAAAGGATTGAATTTTGATAAGAACAGCTGTTTTAATATACAGAGTGATACCAGACGCGTGGTACAACCAAGGAAGGGATGATTTTACCTGTGAAAATGAACCGAAAATATAGAGCAAAATGTTTTCATAAGAAACCTCACATTTTTATGTTAATAAACAGCGGTAATGTCATATTTTGCACAGAAACGGTGTAAATCTTCAGCAGCCCAAAGGAAGAATTAAGGGTTTCGAGTAATTAACCCTCGGACACCAGATAGCGCAACGGTCGCACGCGCGGTATATGCCGGGTCAAATATGACCCAACGCTAAAATCTTTTTCGTACCCAAATGAAACCACACTTTTTATTTTACTACTAAAATAACAAACATATTTATAATATAAGAAAAGGAGAATGATGACTTCGTTTCGAATACCAGTTGAAAAAAAAGAGATCTAAAAGTCGGGTCAGCGTTGACCCAGCCTCCGCCATCCGAAGATTAAAGCGTCGAAACACCGCGGAATTAATCCACAACTCTTTCATTCGAAGAGCAAGAAATTGTATACGTCAACAAGGACGTCACTTTCAACGGATCATTCAATAATGTACACATAAGGCAATTAAATCGTTAATAAACGTATTATTATTACTTGTTATAATATTGGCGCTGCTTATTAGTGCAAACACGAAGCCAGGAGATAGTCGAATGCACGCGTACTCGATAGATATTCAGTTATTATCCTATGGGCAAAAGGGGCAATTGGGCCCTAAACCAATCTTTTGTAACCTCATTGCTGCAGTAGGAATGTCGAAAGTTGAAAATTGTGGTAATTATTTGCCGAAATTTTTGGCCATTTAAAAGTTGTTCAAAATACTGATTCCCCCCGAAGAAAAATGTCTGACTCCAACACTGTACATGGGGCCCGCAAATTCAAATTTGCCCGGGGCCTCATGAAACTATAACGCGCCACTGTAGATATTCAAACACGATTTTCTCCGAAACGTGGCTTCGAACGAAAAAATGTTACTCTTCATTTTCGGTTTATTTTTACATGTAGAATCACCCTCTGCTCTGTTTTACCGTGTCTCACTCTGTATATAAAGTTACAGAGCATCTACAATGAACAATATTTCTGCAATCTTCTGTCACACGATAACTGTAGAGCCCCAAAATTATTTCAATTTTCAACTGAAACGTCTAACATAGTAATGACAATTTTATATCTAAAAAAATGAAAAATTAACATAGATGTTTGAAAGAAAATATTTTACAGGAACGAATTTATTGCCCCATGCTGCGTACTCTAATTCGAGGGGAAATTAACGAAATTTGACAGTGTTATAGAACGTATCTTCGTAGCATGGTAATGAAAGTGAATAAATAAGCGATCGTTGAAACAGAAGTATACTCTGCTGCATCCGAACCCACATGAATAGTTTATCTGAATACCGATAAATATTCATCGAACACGAGCACACATCCATCTGAATATTGGACGAAGATAGAGTTCATATCGTTGAAGTTCCAGGAACATTTAAAATTATATTAACCTGCTATTGAATTTTACGCTACTATACGATTATTCACGTTTTCTCCCTTTATATATTAAACGTAACAAATAACACAATGTGCCTGTTTGTATATATACATATATATCGTGGAACGAAACAAATGCAATACAACGCTTAAACTTAAAACAGGAACTTAACTCTTTGAATTCGATACATTTCGCAGCTACTTTGCACGAATTGTGAATAAATCAATTTTCAGTTTTCACATTTTATCAAGAATAAGTACTTTGCATTCTTTTGTAAACTAACTTCTTGCATTTTCAGATAACACACATTTTTTTTCTTTTTGCTATTCAATAACACGTTTAAATGCCAGTTTAATAAGGTATTCTAATATTATGTAATTCACGCGCATACAGTTTGCATGTTTTCTGCGGATTAATCGACACGCACTCTCTTCTCTTTTCTTTTTTCTTGTAAAGTAATCATGTGCAACATTGTGCCGTCATTTTTTAAGCATGTTTACAATTTTACATTAACATCGATGTTCGTCATTTATCAATAATTGTATAAAACATTTTTTTCTCTCTCTCTCTTCAAATTACCACAGTCGCGATAATACCGTTTACGAAAACAACATCTCACAAATTGTCTAACTAAAACATTGAAATTTTCAAGTAACACAAAAGAACAGAAGAGAAGTTAAACGAAGATTTCACGTGAACCCTTACAATTGGGAATGCTATAAGAAATTCACAGCGAGCGATATGCTGAAACTATTATTTACTCTGTGCGTAATGAATTACTCGTAATTAACAATCAATTTATAGGATGAACGATTGTACGGAAATTATCGTACAAAAGATCACCGTAGAACGAATTCTTACGAACGTTTTAAAAAGAGAATTTCCAAGTTGTGAAAATTATAAGGCAGATTAGCTGTGCAAGTAATTGACCAAGAATCGAGTTGAATCGATTAACGTTACTGCCGCCATTCGAACAACGAAGATCAGCATTTTACGGTCACTATAAAAACGCGAGTGTAACTTCGTTCGTCTAAAGTAACGAATCGTGATTATCGATGGGTGTGTGTGTAAAAATCTGTGTTGTTCATCGAAAAATACAAATTCGAATACTCCTAGCTCTTTGTGTTTCATCAAATTCGTAGTCGACAGTCTTTTCATCAATTAAACAGCCACTACCGTAGACATTGTTCCGCCTCGAAATGTCACGGTAATGCTGCTGGATTTTCTGGATTCGTGAGAATCCATCGATAGTTCCTCCCATTCGAAATACAGCAAGAAATGAACGACAAGGTGAAACGAAATGTTGACAGAATTAAACTCTCCTACTTGTATCGATAAAACTCTTCGCGCCTCTTGGAAGTCCATGATGATTTTATCGATGAAAGCGTATTTATAAATCCAGACGCACCGTTTTCTCAGGTGTTCTTTAACTTTCCTACACGTGTCATGTCGTGTTCACGCCAGGAGTTCGTCGTGCATATACCGTCGCCTCTCCACCACTCGTTTACATCCTTGTAAAATTTCGACGGCCTGTTGTCGTGCAACATGGCGCAAACTCGACACCAGAAATATGTATTGATAAACTCGCCGGTTCCTTTCCAACGGAAGTACGAATTGTATAGTTCGTCGTCCCGATCCAAACGATGAAGATACTCGGCGAGCTCTTTCGGTGACTCGAACTCGTCCACGTGAATGTACGAGCGATATGGCGCGCTGCGAGCGTAGTCCGTTGGATGTGCACCCATTACAATTGGCAAAACATTGTGCCTAAATTGGAAATGGAAATTTGCTTTAACGTTGTTGTACCGAACAGCATGCGAAATTGTATTAATCTAGAAATCTGTGCGATTGATTGCTTTGTGGAAATTCATTTTGAAATATTTACTTTCAACCGTTGAAAATGAATATGAATAACGAAAATTAATTCTGAAATATTTACCTTAAACCCTTACAATAAAATTTGCAACACAAAATTGAATGAAAATGTGAACATATCTCGTATTACTTTACATGGATTTGTGCGATATTCACTAATGAACATCTTAATTCCTACAAGTGCATAAAACGACTTGCCAAAATTTTTCAGAATTAAGATTCTTTACTTCAAATTTTGCTATTTTAAGCATAGTTACTATTTTTTT